TTTTTTGATATTTTTTTGAAATGATTAAATATATAAAAATTGGTATAAAAACGAATTTATTTAGCTTAAAATAATCATTAATAATATTTTGAATCATAACATAATCATTTGTCACACATTTAGTAGGTTTCATATGGTTGGCCACTTTGGAATTCATCTTTCATGGCATTCCTTTTCATTTTAATAACCTCTCCTATTCCGTCAGACATACTATTTATGATATCTAGGACGATGTTATCAATAATTATATATTTTTCCCAAAATACTTCATTTATCTTCAAACTTGATTGAGTACGAGGGCATTGATTCTTAAATAGTATATTCAAGTAGGGGGCATATTATTTTATTTAGTATATTTAATCGAGTGAGTTAGAAATTTCTGGAAGAAACCAATTTTAAATTGAACTGTATAAGAATGGTTCTGTATAATAATAGCTTGATATTTTCCCTCATTTCATATCTGTTAAATAAAGCAGATCCTAATCCATTCTAATTAATAAATTATATGATAATGAATTATAGTTTCTTTTGAGCAGGGATTTAAAGTTTTTATCATTATTCCTAATTATCTTATCTTTAATATTACAATCAAATTGATTTCATCGTTAAAAATATCTATATGAGAGTTTGCTGTTTACTGATACTTTTACATATAAAATAACTTTATCTCTTTCCCAATGGTAGGCGTCCTGATGAAATCACACGAATTCCATGGTCACAAGGAAATTTTATAATATGAGTCTTGTCTGGACATGAACTCCCCTTCCAATTTTAACAAAGACGCTCTGACGGAGCGCAAAATTTTAAAATTGCCAAATACAGTGCTGATTCTTCTAATTACATATACATACCAATCATTGCTCCACTTTGATAACCTATGGGCATGGCGTACGCAGCGGGGTGGGGGGGGCAGGGGGAAAATCCCCCCCCCCTCCCAAAGCCCAGATGCCAGATATATTTTTCAAAAATATTATTGTTTATATTAATTTATATTTGTTAATATTTATTCGTATCTCATCATATTAAATATAAATTTAATTACATTTATTATCACATTCTTAAGTTATTTTATCAATTAATTTCGATTTCAAGTTTTCCGGCGTAATATTTACTTATTATTTTCAAATTTTTAGTGGCTTAATATTTATCTACCATTTTCAAATTTCTAGTCAAATAATAATTATTTCTGAAACTTCTGGTCCAACAGGGAAAAAGAAATTGCAACCTTGTCCAACGAGATAGAGTCTCTGCCATCAAGCAGTAACAGCTTTTAAGAAGTTAGAAGAGCATTATTTGCTATTACAAAATATCACAATAGCCTGCAAGAAATATTTCCTCAGAAGCAAGAAAATTATTGGATTCAATACTTATTCCAAATTTTATTTCTCATTAGAATGTATTATTTAATTATACAACTGTATTACTTTTCAAAAACATGACACTGACTTGATTAAGAAGATGAGAATAGCGGAGAGCATTTATCAGAACTCAAGGAAATTAAGGTTAATGTTGATGAAGAATTTCATATTTTATTGTTAAGTCAAAAGCAGAGCTATACGTGTTTAATATTTGTCTCCCTCGACTTGTAGCAAGGCAAGCTCATCGTTAAAACATTAATATAGGATCAGTAGAAGAGTACATTTATAACCCAAATAAATGAATTTTTAATTCATCATGCAGCACTTACATATGCAAATATTACTTTCACAAAAGCCTTCCTAACCTTTTTCAGATGGTGATAGAAAATATTTGTTAGATTTTTATTATGAAGATGTTAAAGTATCTTATGATGCCTTACTAGCTGAATAACTATGTTTATAAGATTAAATATGGTTGATATAGTCCCAAAAAATGCTATGGATGCTCTGCATTATTTCAAATACATTTTAGATTAAATTCCCAATGTAATAAAAGGGTTTATAAACTCTTCCCATTAGTAAACTAATGAGAGAACATTCTTTTTTTAAGTAAAATAACAGAGGCCTGCAGAAGTACTATTTGCAGGGCACGGCCCGGATTTTGTCAAAGATTTTTTACGGTCCGGCCTGGGTTTTTTTTAAAAATTTTCAGGCCCGGCCCGGATTTTTTTAAAAAATTTCTTAGGCCCGGCTCGGCTTTTTTTTAAAAATTTTCAGGCCCGGCCCGGCTATTTTTAAAATTTTTTTAGGCCCGGCATGGTTTTTTTTTTAAAATTTTCAGGCCCGGCCCGGCTTTTTTTAAAATAAAATTTTCAGGCCCGGCCCGGATTTTTTTAAAATAAATTATATTTATTATTGATTTTTATAGCTAATAATAACGATTTTAAATATAGGCTGTTTTAAAAAATACATCCCGGCCTGGGTGTTTTTTTTAAAATAATTCAGGCACGGCTTGGGTGTTTTTTTTAAAAAATAGGTCCGGCCCGGGTGTTTTTTAAATAAATTTCGGGCCCGGCCCGAGTATATTTAAAAAAATTAAAATACTGACCGGCCCAGGGGCAGGGCCTGCAGGCCTATGAAAAACATACCAAGAAGTACAACATGTGAAAGTAGATTGATAGGTTTGGATCTTTTGAATTTTCGTAGGCATTTGACGACAACAAGGATGAGATAATTGAAAAATTAGCTCAATCCCAACGAAGATTGGATTTTACATTGTAAATATATAACATACAAAATACAATTATTCCTAAGAAACTTTTTGTGTAAAGGCTCAAAAAATTCAAATTTCTATTTTGGGTCATTTAAGTGATTCTTTACATATAATTTTTTTATATTCACATCAATTTAAAATTGTATATTAGGAATAGTTATTAGTCCTAATAAATTTATGCTTGATATTTTTAAAAAACAATAATATTTCTTAAAAAAATTTATTATCCCCCCCTCCCCAGACTAAATTCCTGCGTACGTGCCTGCCTATGGGGATTTGGCTGAAAAAATATTAGACGTCAGCTTAAAGGAAAAATTCTGGGGAGCCTCGTGAAAGCTTTTATTTAAGGCAGAGGTCGCAATAGCAATTCTTAAGGCTAATTATGTTTGTTTTATTAATTAGATCTCTCCTGATGATTAGGAGGACTTTAAAAAAAATAAATATACTGGTTTATGTAGCTATAATATATTTTAACAATTTTATATTAGCTTTTATTTATTTTGTATTTTCCATTTTTATTATTTATTTTCGAAATTGTCATTTTATTAATATGATTAGAATAACCACTATTATATTTTATTAAGTAAATATGGCATAATAAAATAAATACTATTTTTTAAATTTAAGATGCGTTTAAAAAGTATCAAGCAATTTTTCACGATATTCTATTTAACCATATGTATGCTGCCGGTGGTAGTCAATCAGGAATTTAGGGGCTTAGGTCAATCTAGCAGAGATGTAAATTATTTTATTTAATAAATTTGTATCTGATGGGGTGCGTCCTAAAGAACTTTTGCTCTTTATGAACATAAATAAGCTATAGTGTTAATATAAAATTAGATTTATATTAAGTTTATTTCAAACTTTATGATAAGAATATAGATATTATCATTTTTTAAAAGAAGCTGATGTTTCACTTATATAGGTTACACCCATAACTTAGATTTACAAATTATAAAACATTAACGAAATTGTATGTTAAGTTTTATTTTATAGAAAAATATTGAGGAAATGTTTTCGAAATGCTTAAATTTATTTATTTTTATTAAAGTTTTCTAAATTTATTATCCCCCCCCCCCTATATTTGAAAAAAATGCAATATTAATACATTATATTTTAGTAATAAAAAAAAACAATACTCATACATTATATTTTAGTAATAAATGCTGCCGATCTTTCGTATGTATATACTAGTGGATAATTTAGTTAAAGATCATCAAATATTTTAATTATAAGTTGAGTTATCTTTCTAGAATATGATATAATTCATTTTAGTATATATAAAAATTAATCTCAGATTAATAATATGCCCAATTTTATATTCCTAAATTATATTAGCCTTCCATAGTGCCTTACCCTAACTTTAATGCCGAGCAAGATGCCAATGATCTACGCAAAGCGTTAAAAGGATTTGGTAAATCAAAATTTAGTTACAGCCATTTATTTCAATGTTTAATACATTAATTTATTAGCTTTATATGAGTAATAGTGCATTTAAAACCCAAACATTTATATTTAAATTAATAAAAAAAATTTCTTGGTTATTTTTATTCGTGGTAATTTTTTATTTAAAATAGGAACTAACATTCGAATTGTTGTCAGAATAATGGCCGGACGAACTAATTTCCAAAGGCAAAAAATAGCGAAAGTCTATAATGCAATTTTTAAAAGGGTATGATATATATTTTTTTTTTATATCCCTCAAATAAAAAGCATTTTTTATAAAAAAAAATTGTTATTAATTTATCAGAATCTAGTTAAAGATCTTAAAAGTGACACTAATCGAAAGTTGAAAAGATTTCTCGTTGCGTTAATGACACCCCCGGCTACTTATGATGCTAGCCTTATACGGAAAGCAGTGAAGGTTCAAAAATTTAAATAATTAAAAATAAAAATGATTAGGTATGGTTTCTAAATATAAGGGGATATATAGGGAAGACCAAGGTTGGTGTGGCATTCTCACTTTCTAAATGCTCATATATTTTAAAATATTTATCATTAATTTAGTTATAAAACCTTTTAAACACATTTGAGCCATTCGAGAAGGGTCTAGTTTAAACCCCTATATATTAAATAATAGAGAAAATTGTCCAACAGCAAGTTTTGAACCCAAGAGCCCCATCTTTATTCATTGGCATCAAATTTATAATTATAATCAAAAATTTTCTTTCTCCTTTATTTTTAAATTAATTGCCTTCTTTTCAATGAAAAGGTACCAATATTAAAAATCATGCTTTTTTAAAAGTAATTTAGGATATGGATTTAAGATAGAATGGATCATCAAGTTTATAGTTTCATTTTTTCAAATTAATAACTCAACTTATTTATTTAAGTGGTTAGGAACCGATTTTGATCTTTTACTGGAAGTACTTCTGACCAGAACGCCTAAACAAATTCAAGCCATGAAAGAGGCTTACCAACTGGGTTAATTTATTTTTAGTTATAGCATAAATGTCAAAAGATTAAATTGAATTATTTTGATTGAGAATTTTAGTTAATTGAAAGAAGTACAGATTGGGGAATAGATTTAGATAGAAAGTAATATCAATCATTTTAAGTTGAGATGTTTTAAAATAGCAAATAGGTTACATGAGTTTTCACAAAAAGGAGTAATTTTCAAGAATAAAATATCGATAAATGAGATATTTACAATTCTTATAATGAGTGATTAATTGAAAATATAATAAAAATATCTCAGTTTTACAAACGAATTGTGGCCTGTCAATAATAGATTAAGTCTCGAATGAAATGACATTTTTCATTTATTAGAGAAATTTTTTTTTATATTTCTAAGAATAATTTGGCATATTCAAAGGAATATTTTAATTTTGCAAATTCAAAGAAATATTTTTAATAAGTTAAAATTTTTTTCAAGAGCATTAAATTCTTTAAGTTTAACTTTTACTCAATGTTAATATATAATCTTGAATTAAAACTTAACGCTCAGATTTTGTTTTCCTAATACTCATAATTAAAATTAGTTTAAGCTAAAAATTTTAACTTAATTTCACAAATATTTTTCTTAAATCTAACTATTTTTCTAAATAAAAATTTTGATCTTATCAAATTTTTTCTATAATTTCAGAAATTTTTCCCATCTTGATTTTTTAAAAATTTTTAAGTGCATTTAGCTTAAGTGTTGTTTTTCCCTTACATTATTAATAATTATTTTTTGAGTGCTATATATTTAATCATTCTAGGTCCTTGGATTTAAGCCAGGAGATAAGGATGACTTATTAATGCTTTCTAAAATAATTTATAAAATAAAGACTAATAAAAAGATATAATAAATTCATCGTTACAATCCATCACTCTTTAGGGTTAGTCTGAAGGGTATAATATTTGAAGATTGGTGTCTATAAAGCTAATAAAAGGATTTCTTTACAATTTTATTAATCTTTATGTTTTCAGGCTAAATTTGGGAAAGAGGAGAAGATAAAAATTCTAAGATAATATCTCAAGAGAGTTCTCAAAATAAATAGATCTTTTGACTGTTTTGCAGATCATCTGAGGGTGGGTGAGGGGGTCAAAAATATCTTTTAATTAATATGGTGATAACCATTCATAATATTTGGATCTAGGTTATTCGGGAGGGGGAGGTGCGATATGACATTATTTTTATTTTAAATATTGGTAGTAAGTGGGACTTATTGATCTAATTCTTAAAAATCACTCCAGACCTTCGAAGCAAGTCAGTTGGGAGGGGGATCAGGAACTTTTGCACCCACTTAGCAAATGACTATACTACCCCCTCAAAAATTTAAACCTTATCTCTTTTAAAATTTTGACCACTACCAAAATTACCTCATCTAAATGTTAACCCCCCTCCCCCACCAGATTATCTCCTTTCAAAATTAGCAGAACAAGAAATTCAATCAAAACTACTTTCCCAACCCCCTCTACAATTTTATTCAATTGCGATTATAACTATATACCCTTCTCCAAGTGATGACCCTATCTTGACATGAGTTTTAAATTAAAGCGATTAATATAATTTAAAAATGTAAGAAAATAGCCAGTAAAAAATAAACAAAAATTCTTGATTGAATATATTTATCCTTTACATTAATGGGGACCATGAATTTAAGAAAATATTTTTATAGATTTATTCAGTATTATAAAAAAAATTTTTAAATGGTGGTATATTTTTATTTTTTTGATAAATTTTATATGAATTGAATCGAAGATTATTTTAGTAAAAGATTCATACATTTAAAAATAGTTTTAGAGAAGTTATATTTCAATTGTTTAATTTTATCCCAATTTCATCTAACGATTACCATATTTATTAAACATGATCCCCTTTAAATAGGCCCTTGTAATCGATGTATATTTTTTTAATTTATTTTATTCATATACAAATTTTTTTTAATAGTACTAGGAAAAAATGTAATACTAGGAAAAAATGTAATACTAGGAAAAAATGTAATACTAGGAAAAAATGTAACAATTAATTATTTTTCTGAGCATTTCAGTTCTAATTCGGAGTGATTAAACAGAAGCCATACACAAAAGCTAGTTTATAAATTAACTATTCAGTATTCAAACTAGCCTGATGCTTAACTAGTTTACAACCTAGCCAGCTAATATAAGAACTAGCTAGCTAATATGCAAACGAACTGTAAACTATAAACCAGATATTAGCTAATTAATTTAATTTAATTTATGTTTTTTTAATTTCGGAATATTTATTTTAGTTTTTTTTTAAATTTGTTAATTCTCCTTTTTAGTAGTTATATACTTTTGTATATTTTCCCTAATTTTGGGTATTCTTTTTATTAAAAATAAATAATTTTATTTTTTAGGCAAGGTGAATTGGTTATTTCGGCATTGTATATGTTAGAGTCAGTGTGTTATTTTTTCAACTTTAAATCATTTTTAGAGCGCGTTTTTTTTAAATTTAAGAATTGGATATTACCGAAATATTTCAGCATGTTTAGAATATCTATCTTATGAATTGTAGATAATTTTGTCGTTAACCTTGAGTCATTTATAATTTATATAAAAAATCTATAGAAAAACTTGTATTTAATTATATATAAAAAGAATGTAAAAATATGTTCATAAAAATTTAGATAAAAATATATATAGAATGAACCATAAAAAATTATTTATGAAAAAATAACATAAATAGCAAAAAAAAATACGGTTTGACTAGTGTTGTTAATGTGTAAAACTCAGACCCGGGGTTTGGGTATAAAAGTCGATTAAACCAGCTATGAGCACGAATCCCAAGCACAGACTCGGAGTTCAAATTTAGACTCGAGGTTCAGTTGAATAATATTATTCCAAATACTTCAAATAAAAAATATTTACCAAAAATATAGAAGCAGCAAAATGCAATGGCATTTTCTGAGGTTAGATAGTAAAGCTCTGCAAGCAACACAGCTTAGGGTTAAAAAATTTTTAATCGGGACCACATATGCCAAAATAATATAATTATAATGAGTTATTATTTTGTTTAGCCGTACGATTATTTCCAGCTTCACCCATACTATTTCAGAATTAGATACGGCCGGTTCAATTTCATCGCTATTTTTTAAACACGTATTGATTTTTTTATGATTTTAGAAATGTATATTAGACAAGTACATTTGATAATATTAGTTTTTGGATCGTTTTTATTTAGAGAGGGGGGGGGGGTGGTTATAAACAAGCGTCTTTTTGTCCTCCCTATTCTGAAGTTAAAATATATAAAATCTTCAATTTACACTTTTTATAAAGATTGTGTAATTGCTATAATTGGGTAATGGCTATATATATACACGCTAACTCGGATCAATCTTATAAATTTTAATTAAAATAAATTTTTTTAAAAAATAATGTTTTTCACAACATTTTTTCCAAGTTTTTAAAAGTATATATGTGTTATTCTAATTATTTTTGTAAACAAAATATTTTTATCTGAATGGGTTTTATTTTTAATTTTCAACGTTAACAAAATTTAAATTATCACATTCACAACACTAAAAAATTATTACTTTGCCATATAATTATCCTTAACAATCATCATGCGTTTAAATTTGAAGTTGTTTATTAATTATTATTTTATTAGTTATATTTATATAGAAATTTTTAATATTTTTTTTATTAAATTTAACTTTTCATTATATTATTTAAAATATAATTTCCTTTTTTTATATTTTTGAAGTTAAGTTTATTAATTTAAAAATAATTATAATTACATTTTAAATTTCAATAATGTTAAATCTGTAAGTTGGCGTATTATTTTAAAAATTTTCTTATAAAAAGAACCATAAAAAACTATTTATGAAAAATAAAAATAACAAAAAATATATATATTAATAAATAAAACATATAAAGTAATCAAATTGACAAATATATTTGAAAAATCATATGAGAAGATGAAAAGATTGGAAAAGTACGAAAAAATAAATGTATAAAACCATTTAGAAAAGTAAACAAAAAAAAATATAAAATCATTTTAAAATAATAAAAGATATATCAGAAAAGTACTTTAAAAATATATGAAACCATTTTAAAATAATATACGATCAAAAGATATATTAGAGAAGTATGAAAAAAATATATAAAAATCAATCTCAAAAAGAAAAAAATTTAGTAAATATTATAAGATCAAAAGATATATTAATAAAGTATGTTAAAAATGAATATATAAAATTATATATATTTAAAAAATAATATAAAGCATCAAAATAAATCTCAAAAAAATAAATATAAAAAAAATAATATAACACAGCTCTGTGAAGTTGGCCGAACAATTGGAAGAACTTACGATGAATCATATGTCATTTTTTAGTTCGTCGTTAGTGCTTCAATCCGTATAGTAGCCGAATAAGGAAAAAAGGTTATAAGCAAAAATAAAAACTTGTGCCAACTTCACGCTTAAAAGTCGATTGAAAGCACTAACGATGAAACTTTTATTATTCTTTAGTGCTTCTTTAGTAGAGGTTAGTGCTTCAATCACTTTTGTAGCCGAATTTAAGAATAAAAAGTTATTTGCGAAAAAAACAAAAATAAACAAATAGTGGCGACGTGCCAAAATAAAAACTATAGTACTACTAAACATCCGGTTTTCGCCATTATTTAGTGCTAAATTAGTAAATTTGAATTCCGTAATTAATTTGGTTACCCGTCTTTATAAAAATTGTAATGCGCTAAAGAAATCTTTAGAGGTCAAATTTTGGCCAGAAAAATTATGAAGGCACTAACGATTAAATTTATCATTCTTTAGGACTCTATTAATAGAGGTTAGTGCTTCAATAACTTTTGTAGGAATTTAAGAATAAAAAGTTATTTGTGAAAAAAACAAAAATAAACAAATAATGGCGACGTGCCAAAACAAAAACTATAGTACTACTAAACATCCGGTTTTCGCCATTATTTAGTGCTAAATTAGTAAATTTGAATTCCGTAATTAATTTGGTTACCCGTCTTTATAA